TTATTATAATTAAAATGTTTTCTCTGCTTGATAAGAAATTAAAATAAATAAAATTGGTGAAAAGATTTTAAGTGGGCCACACACATTAGAAAATTTGGAGAAAACTTTCTCTTTTAAAAATGTGAAAAAAAATCATCTATCAAGATTTATGTTAAGAAAAATAAAAATTACAAATATTATTTTTATTTTTTTATTATAATATTAAAATATAAAAAGAGAAAAATAATCCTAAATAATCCAAATAAGAGAGAAAGTTGGGGAGAACTTCTTTTTTTTTTTGATAAATAAGATAGATAAAACTTAAGGTTTGGGGTAGCTAACCCCTACATAATCTGTTGTACACAAGAGATCCACCTCTGGTGGACAAACACACAAAACACTTAAGCTATGGGGGGCAACAAGCCCCTTTTTTGCAAGAGCATCTATAGCCATGTTAGCCTCTCTTAGCACATTCTTCACCTGAACTTGGGGGATCACGTGCAAAAAGGCCCTGCAATCCATAATAAGAGTGCTATAAGGGTGAAACCTGTTGACAGTACTAATCAAAAGAAGATAAACAACCTGACAATCAGTTTCAACAATAACGGAGTGGAAGTGATGAGAAACAACAATATTGAGACCATCCCTAATGGCATATAATTCTACAACAAGTGCAGTAGTAGGGCCAATATTGCGTGTGAAACCAATAACCCAGTGCCCTTGATAATCCCTGAAAAGGCCTCCACAACCAGCATTATTGGGATTACCAGCAATAGATCCATCAATGTTAAGTTTGAGCTATCCTAGAGGAGGAGGGTCCCAACCAATGAACCTAGTAGCCTTAGTACTTTTAGATGAAGGAGGGGATTAGAAGACCAAAATTCCGCAGCTCGTTCCACAATCAAACAAAAGGTCTTCTGAGGGTCAAGGTTATGCTATTTGTAAAGAACCAGATTTCTCTGATTCCAGATTACCCAAATGGCAAAGCAAAAAATAATGGCCCATGGGATATTAAAGATAGGGCCAGGAGACATATTTTGAGAGTGATGGCAAAGCCAACTTTTGAAATCAGAATCATTATGGTTAGTAAGATGAGGGTAGAGTTTGTGGAGGGTAGAAGTAGTAAGGGGGCAGCTTCGAAAGATATGCTCAATGGACTCAGTCTGCCTTTTACATATTTTGCAAACAGTATCATCAACAATCCCTATATGGTGAAGGAACTCCAAGGTTTTGATCCTACCATGGGCAAGTTGCCACAAAAACATTTGGATTTTTGGGAGTGTAG